GTCGAGTTCTCAAACTTGTACGTCATGACAAAGAATCACAAGTTAGGCAGGTAATCATGAAAATATTTCCTAATGTCATTTTGACATAAAAGGAGAAATGTTTTTGATTATCCCACAAGATGAAAAAGAGCCAAGAAATGTCAAAAAAAGCTCTCTCTTTTTGTACAATAAGAGAAATGGATAAAAGTAATGAAAAAAGAGATTAAGTCTATGATATCAAACTATGTTTGGGAATTGGTTGATTTTCCTAAAAGACGCAAAGTGATTGGGAACAAATAAGTTCTCAAGATTAAGTATAAGTTAGATGGGACAATTGAAAGATATAAGTTCTATTTGGTAGCAAAAGGATATACTTAACAATAGGGAATTGATTGTGAAGGGACTTTCTCTCATGTTATGAGATTTACCTAAATACATTTAATTCCAACCATTATAGCCAATTTGGATTTGGAGTTACATGAAATGGTTGTGAAAACTATCTTTTTAAACGAAGGATTAGAAAAGGAAATCTATATAGAACAACTTATAGGCTTCGTTGGCAAAACTTAAGAGCATAAAGTGTATAGGTCGTTAAAATCGATTTACGATCTTAAACAATCTTTCAAGTAGTGGTATAATAGATTTCATTAAGCGATAATTTCATATGATTTTATTATGATTGATGAGTACCACTATCCGTATGTAAAAAAAGATAAAGATAAATTTATAATATTGTCACCTTATGTGTATGACATACTGTTGGCTAGCAATAACAATGAGTATATCACCGAGGTGAAAACTTAGTTGTCCTCAAATTTTGAAATGAAGGATATAGGTGAAGCCACTTACATACTTTGTGTAAAAATCATGAAAAATCGTTCAAAAAAAATTGTTAGCTCTTTCACATGAGCAATATATTAAAAAAATTTTAGAATGATTCAATGTACAAGACTACAAGTCGATAGATACTCTTAAGGCAAAATGTGAAGGTCTTAGCCAGAAAACGTATCTTAAGATTCCATAATAAAAGGAACAAATGGCAAGAGTTCTTTACTCTAGTGTTGTTGAAAGCTTTATATATGTAATGATGTTTACAAAGTTGGATATCTGCTATATTATGGGACTAGAAGTAGATATCAATCCAATCCAGGTCAACCCTATTGAAAAGTCGTTAAAAAGATATTGAGATAACTAAAAGGCACTATGGATTATTCGTTATGTTATCAAGGAAATAATCTACATTTGGTCGGCTTTATAGACCTTGATTGAAAGAAAAGATTTAGATGAAAGAAAATTTACCTTTGGCTATATTTTCTTACTGAATATTGGGGCTATTTTATGAAGTAGTAAAAAACAGAATTGTATAACACTATCCACAATGAAAGCTAAATATGTAGCATTTTCAGTGATAGTGCAAGAAGTTGTTTGACTTAAGAGATTTATGAATCATTTGAGATTTAAGAAGGATGAGTCCAACTCAGTATTGATGAATTGTGATAGTCAAGCTATAATCACATTCATAAAAGATCTCAAATATCATTCTAAAACCAAATATATAGATGCCAAGTATAACTACATGAGAGAAATGTTTGCACAAAAGAAAGTCAACATGTAATACATTTTTATGCATAAGATGATTGTAGATCCATTTACTAAGTTCATACCTAAAGATGTGTTTAATAATAACCACATGAGATTTCTAGGATTGCGTAGATATTGATGTATATTTACTAATTAAATAGTTTTATATAAAAATATGTGATATTTTTTCATTTGAGTTGACTTATATTGAATACAATTAATGCCATTGACGTTTAGTACTTTGTTTTGTAATGCATGCATACATGTATATATATGTTTATATACATATATGATATGATTTGAAAGATATATCGAACAAATTTTTGGCCTTTTTACACATGTGATCGCCATAATGGTCTAGCACCATGGAAATAAGATTTTAAGCAATTGATCGAGAGCCCAAGCTTAAAATGGAATCACCTTTATAAGGGATCAAGATGAAGTCACTCGATATTAAGATTTGTAACCGAAAGTGAATAACCCACAATTTATTTTATTTGTCATAATATGATAGGTAAAAGTTCTGTTGATTACATGAAATCAAGTAGAGTTATGGACTTAAGTTCAATACTGGGAGTATATAAATTATCACCTATATAGTATTGATCTATAAATAATGAAAGATGTACTCTTCAAGAAAAAGGAGAGTAATATCATAGCATGTGTTTCATACTATATGTGTGCTGTTTGACTAACAAACATAATAGAAGAATAGATCTCTGCTTCTTGTTATTTTAGACCATTAAGATTTGATGATCTCATATTTAGTACCATTAAAGACTTTTAATTATTTTTTAAAGTTTCAGTTCAATGTTAGCTATCTTGGTTTGTTGACAATGGTCATGGATAATTTGATTTAATGGGACATATCTGTATATCAATTGAATTGAAATAGAGAGATTTTATAAGAAGGGAAGATCATTCTAATGTTATATTTGGTTGTATTAACAAGTCGATTAACTATGTTTGAAACATTGAATATAATTGTGAAAACATAAATATATCATGCAATATGATAAAAGAGATATCGTGAGAAACTTGTAATGTGATTAAATAGGTTTAGGGTGTTGCATACTTATTTACTTTACTTGTTGAGAGTGACTATACATACCTAATAGTTATATAAGTGATTAAATGTAATTATGAGCTGCTATATGTATCTAACAGTTATATAGCAACTGAGCTTTCGAAATATGCTGGTTGCACGGTTTATTTTCTTTTATGAACATAATGTAAAGGATAGAGAAAACGTTCTCGAGATCACAAGAGTTTTATATCTATTCTGTGAGAGTGAGAGATGTTGGGATAACCACCCATAATAGATAAGTTACATCTTATGAAACAACTATCTTTAGGCAATTTTCTTGTGTAAATGTGAAACTGCCATAGGCAATTAATGATAATTTTTAAATCATACAAAAATGTCGCCCATCTCTTAACATAAAAGAAAATGGCATTTGGCCATTAATAAAGAAATTAAAACAAAGGGAAAAAAGTAGTTTATCACAAAAACAATAGAAAGAAAAGAAGAGAAAGTAATTGAATAAGTATTGTATAACTTTGAAGAGGAATTTTTGCTTCGGTGCATTGAAAGACTTATACTATGAAAATGAATAATTTTCATCTTGTAATCTTGTCCAACGACCAATAATTTAAGTTAGATTTTTGCTTCTATTTCTACTAAACAAATAAGTATATATGATTATATTTGTATATATTTTCCATTTATTTTATTTTTCAGTTAGTAAAACAAAAATTAGTTAAGTCTTTAAAAATAATTATGAATGAAGTTATCATGCAATTTATTAATATTTATTTTTAAGGACCTAACTATTTTTTTCATTCATATGATTGATTGATAGTATATGAATTTTTTCGGACGATAGGATATTTTAAATTCTTTATTCTTTAATAGCGATAATTTTAAACTTATTTACCCAAGTAAGGTACTTTAAGCCACATCATCATCTCCTTCCTTCAAGCCTTTCCTTTCTCTTTCTACCTGCTGTGTTTTTGTCAAGAATCTCATGAAGAAAAAGGATTGAAGAAACCCTTGATGTAATGGATTGAACTGAGGGATAAGGTTGATGTTTTCTTCTCAGGAGATTTATCAAACAATGGAGATTTATGAGATATTATATATCCTAGGCATTCCCTTTTCCAGTTTCAAATGGTATCTAAATATTTGTTGAAAATTATTGTTGATTAAAACCTAGATCCAAGAACTCAATTATCCATTACTTTTGTTTTAAAGAGAAATATTTTATTAAGGAATTATAGAGTGCTTTTAAAATTAGAGTGTTGAGAAGTTGAGTTTTGTGGCTGAATGAGAGGCTAAAAATACTAATTCTTTAATGGTAATTTCAGAGTTAGAGCAAGAAGAAGTGCCATCTTGGGGCTCGTTGATAATGGTGTGGAGGTCTCAGAGCATAAAACCGTTAAGGCATTGGTTTTCGATTTCTCCAAAGAACATTTTGCAGCTGATTGGTGGCATAAGCAGGTGGTAACTAACTTGAAATTCAGATTGTTGTCTGTGCGTGAAGATGGTGATTTGGAGATTCTCTTTTCTATGGAAGAACTCAAAGTTGCTATTTGGAATGGTGAAGGTCCAAAAGTACCTGACCTTTTAACTTCAATTTTTTTGGAAGAACTTGGGGAGTTTTGAAGGTTTATCTCCTAGATTGCTTAATGAAATTTCATAAAACTGATTCCAGAAGATTTAGTAAAAGCAGGAGTCGATATATAGAATTGAGATGTTCATGGCTTGGTGGTTAACAGTTCTTGTTTGCAAGTTTGTTTCTGATTTTGCTTGGTTATGCCCAAGCTCTGTATTTTCTCTGTGTTTCCTTGTTGATGGTTGAGAATCTCTTTGAGATATTGGCCTCGTGTTGTAATTTTTCTTTTTATTCATTATTAAAATCCTAACTCCGCAAAAAAAAAAAAAGAAATCAATATTTTCATTAATTTTTATATAAACTAATAATGATAAAGATGATGTTGCATGTTAACATGTCTAAAATACCTTAACTTGGGAAATAAGATTAAAATGATCCTATTCTAAGAATAAAAATTTTTAAATACTTTGATTTGAGAAAAAACTCGATAGTATATAATACTTGCACCATTAAAATATTAATGCATCAAATATTTACTTTTTTATGAATATATCCTTATACAACACCTTAATATCTTCGTATGATAATTTTCTTTGATTTTGGCATAAAAACTGTGTTCTAAATTTTCATTTATACAAAAAGAATAAGGAACTAGTAAAAGTAATAATCAAATGAAAAATTTTATTGAAATGAAAATAAAAAACAAATCAAAGAAAGGCCACATACTTTATGTAGAAAATTAATAAACAATATATTAATCCAATCTAAATTCTGTCTGAAACTTGAGTGTGCCTGATCTTAAAACAAACATCTCTGCACAAATTTTTTTTGAAAAAAAAAATGGAAGGATTTTACCAAATTCACTGAAGCGAATGATACAAGGGACAAACCAGTAGTTTCAGGACACTGTCACTCGTTTCTCTCTTAAAATGTACCTGCCTACAATATTATGACTTGTGAGAGAGCAAAACTTAAAGCCCCAACCCCAACGCTTTAGACTTTAGAGAGAAAGAAATGATAAAAATCGAGAAAAATCTCACGAAAAAAAAAAAAAATCCTGGATAGTCATCGGATTTCAAACCCACAAAATTTAGTTAAAGTTGATGAAGGGCAAGAATCCGGGACTACCCATTTTTGGTTCTGAAGTTATTTCACTACTTGCATGCTTAACCCTTTCCTTTAAGAAAAAAAAAAGTTTTTAGCTGTTTTTGTTGTCAGCATTGTTTGGTTAGGACTTGGGATTTACTTGGTAGTCTAAATGGGAGTATTTTTGTTGTGGGTTTTAGCCTTTTAGTGCAAAAACCAGTGAAATTCTGGAAGGCAAGCAAAAGTGGAAGAAAAGAGAGAATTTTGGATTAGGGTTTTGTTTGGTGAAAGTGACAGTGACTGCTTAGAGAAAGATGCTTCTTTTTGAGAGAAAAATGGAGCTTGAGGAGCAACTTAAGGAAGCAGGAAACAACCTTCTCAATCCACCATCATCTATTGATGAATTTCTTAATCTTCTTGATGTAAATGACCACTTTTTATTCTTTCCCTTTGTTTCGCTTTTTTGCATGGCATGTTTGTTGCGACTTTTTCATTGCAATGTTGACCTATGATTCATGAATCGAAATGGGTTTGTCATAGATGATCAATGTTCGCAATATCTGAAGTTGGGGTTTTCTTCATAATTGGTTAGTTTTGGACTGAAAGGTTTAGACTTTGTGATGAGCCCCTCTGATGGCTTATTGATTATTTATGTTCTCTGTATCTACATTTTGTCACAATTATAAATACATTTGATGCATATTCCTTAATTACATTGGTTGTAATTTTGGACAAGGAGTCAAGAACCTAATGTGTTGTTTTCTGTTTTTTGTTATATCAATGTTCTCTATTGTTTTTGTGGGTGAGCACAACATTTATGTCTTTTCTTTGTTCTATTGCTTAGAAATTATGTGATAAGCAGTTGATGGTTTATGTTTATGAGTATACTTTTATTCCTTTCAATTATTAGCTTTTGGTACATACTTATGTTGATGATTATTTGTTGAATCGATCAAATTTTTTTTTCAGATTCATGGTTTTGAAGGTGATATTGGCTAATTTTCAATCGTTCTATTCTTGTTCGATTGTTTTGTTCTGTGTTCGTGTTATGGTTATTTTGAATATTTTTGTCACTTCTATTTTTTTCTTCTATTTGAAGTTTTCTACCCTTTCCCACAATTTTTTTGTTTATTTCATTTTGTCATAACTCCACATTACATTTTCGTTTCCTTTTTTTTTTTTTGGTTTCATTGTCTGTTTCAGAAAGTTGAGAACCTGCTCACTAGTGTGGAGCAAGCGCCACCTCGGTCAATGCAGAAGGCACTTCTACCTGTAATGAAGGCACTTACTTCAGATGCCCTCCTGAGGCACTCAGATATGGATGTGAAGGTTTCAGTTGTATCCTGTATAACCGAGATTACAAGAATAACAGCACCAGTTGCTCCTTACAATGATGAAAGAATGAAGGTAGTTAAAACAGTTTAAATGAGTTCTGCTTAAACCACTTTCTGAAAAGATAACAGCTTCAAACATAACAATCTTTCTTTCAAATATATGCTTAAATGTTGTTGTTGGTTCTTCCTTCTATTGGTTCTTAAGTTTGCATAATTTGCCTTCCAATTCATTGGTGCTCAGGAAATTTTTCAGCTGACCGTAGCAGCTTTTAAACATTTGTCCAATGTGGCCAATCGCTGTTATACAAAGGTGGTTTCAGTTCTTGATACGTTTGCAAGAGTTCGGTTATGCTTGGTGATGTTGGACCTTGAGTGTGAGGAATTAATTATAGAGATGTTTCAGCAATTTCTGAAAAAACTTAGGTAAGAGGCTTGTTGGTGATGATTCTTTATTGGTTTCAGTCATATGATGATATTTTTGGATCTATAACCAGAATGCTACTTGAACTTCTATAAGTTCTTGGAAGATATTCTCCGTGTCTAAAGTGAGCTAGATTTTATTAGAAGCTAGAGTTTGTTATTAATTTATATCTTCATATTTACGGTTGTTCAAAACTTATTAAACTACTAGAATTGTAAAATTGTGAATAAAATAAAGTTAAAGTTTGTCATAAAAGTTCTTGATGGCATGTTAGAAAACATCTTTCTATCCTTATAGGTTTAATGTTTCTAAGGCTAGTCTAATATTTGCGATTTAGGTTCCTTGGTTTCATTGTTTAATGGAGGTTTAGTCTGGAAAACACAGTCATGTAGAATTTAAGGAGGATAAAAAATATCAAATATCTCTTGAATTGCATTTTTGTTAAAGGTACATACATAATTGATACTTAGATAAGCTTTTTCATACTCGAGGAAAAAGAAAGTCAAGATTTGATGAAACATATATTAATAAGCCTATCGTGGGACTTGAGGCATTAGCTTTTGCTGTGATTTCCATTTCCCAGAAAATATATGTTGGGGTCTTATTTGCTCTCTTATGTTTTAAGAGAAGTTAGTTGTACTCCACATATTTCTTAGAGCAATTAGTTGCTGAACAAAATGAAGACGAAGGACATAAAATTAATATTGTATATCAGGGATGGTGAAAATTTACATCACCTTAAACTTTTGGTTTTATTAGATGCATGACTACTTACAAGAGAAAAAATTTATTTCTTTCTTCTCCCCCACTATGACAGGTTTAAAACTAGGGCTACTTGTTTTACTTTCCAATTGACTAAGCTATTGGACAGATGGGGTGCTCTTGATTGGAGGTGTGCTAGTTTTGATTATTAGAAGCAAAATTTTAAGCATTTTACCTTAATTAGTTATCTAATTTATTTGAAAAAGGTTGCCTACGCCGTTCTCCCTTGGTAGAGAATAGCAATTTTTGTATGAACTTTGAAGTTGGATTTACTTATATCTTTCTGAAGTTAATGGGGCTGGAGTTAGCTCTTGAGAAGGAAGATTAAGATTTGATGTCTTATATAAAGAGTCTTGTTTGTCTTCTTGGTTCCTAAACTACTTGTGATGAATTGTATGGACCATACTATGTTTCTGTTTAGAAATGAAAAGGTTATAATGCATTCGCACTTGAAAGAAGCTCTCTGGAGGTATACCAGTTAGTGTGGCCCTGACAAGCATTCTCATCTATGATGTCTATACTTTCTTTTGAGCTACCGGCAAAACGGATATTCCATTCCATCTGATCCATAATCTGTATCTTATAAAATATCTCAGATTTTGATAGATCTCATTTTGGTCATGCTGGTTGATAGGTTTTAGGTGAAGTTATATATAAACATTAGCTTGTTTTTAGGTGTTGTGGCCTTTCATTTGGGTTGGGTTAGGCCTCTTATGTTGTTTCACCTCCTCAACTAGTTCCTGTCGATTTTTAAGTGGGTGGCTTAACCTCACATCAGAGCTAGGTTTGCTTGTTGTCTTAAGTATTAGTCTATGGAATAGGTCTATTTTTCTGGGCTGTTCCATTGAGCTTGCACATGAGCGGGAGCACAAAGTGTATATCCCTCATGAGCTTGGTTTAAGGTTTGTAGTGGCCTTGTATTTAGGTTGGGATCTCTCCACAAGTTGCCAGTTTGTTTTGGGTTGCTTTTTTAATGATAGGAGAATTATGAGTTAGTTAATTTTTCCAACAAATTATGCTAATGACTAGGGGATATCTGGGCTTGTGCGGGCTTGCTAGGAATTACGTGTACATAGTGATTATTTCTTTTGTAAATGCTTTGGATGAGGCAATACAGATGTTAGTCTTTGGCATAGAATATGTGGGGCAAAATTACAAAAAAAATATTATCATTGGCCTTGGTTTGTATATGCATTAAACCTTGTGCAAGACTACTAGCCTTTAGACTCCCATGCAGGAGACATAGATTCTCGTTTCTCTTCGAAAATAATTTAAAAAAAAAATCTTATTCTGTGACCCTTTTTAATGGTCAAATGCATTTGTGCATTGTTTGGCAGTTACTTTCATTGTTGAAGAATATTGATTTAGTAGTAACTTCAGTTTTGTCATTGCATACTTTGTAAGAGAAAATGATCAAGATAAAAAGAAGAATATACTACGAGACACCCTGACTTTTATTGTTGAAGAATATAGATTTAGTAGTAACTTCAGTTTTTTCATTGCATACTGTGTAAGAGAAAATGATCAACATACAAAGAAGAATATACTATGAGACACCCTGATTTTGTATTTTTTATCAATAAATGTTTTAATAGAAGAAGATTTGTTGTATGTGGGGGGCATTGTTTTCTTTCCAAATTAAAATTCCCATTATCATAAACAGGAATAAAAATTTTAGTTGCTCTCAGTTGCATGTTTGCATTGTCATAAGAAATTCTTCTGATAATTTAACATATTTGATATGTAATTATGACAAAACAGAATCTCAAATTATTAATCCTAAGCCCTTTTTTTTAAAAAAAAGGGAAATCTCTCAAGTCCCCTGCCATTTATATCTGTTTATCTTTACGTGCATTCGTTGTGTCAGTTAGCACACTTATTGCTGATGGATGTAAGTTTTTATCATTCCTCAATGGGTTTCTAAAACTTTTTAACCTTTTAATTTAAGTTGACGGTGAGTTTCCTGAACACTTTTGTTTTTAAGAGACTGTCTATTTTGCAATTGTCTGAAGGGTTTTGAGAGTCTTGTGATTTATGGCATTCGGTATATAACCACATTTGTTGTGTTCATGTTGGATGCTATTCAGAACACTGTGACATTAACCACTATTAACTGAACAAATGGCTTTAGGAGACTTTTTAATTTGGCGTACTGCGTTTACCTTACTGAAATTAACAAGTTGTGGATTTTTCCTTGTTTTACTTTAAGGTCCAATCATCCTCATACTGTTTTTCTGTCCATGGAATCAATTATGACACTGGTATTAGATGAAAGTGATGGTATTTCCTGGGGTCTTCTTAGTCCTCTTTTGGCTAGTGTGATGAGGGAAAATCAGGTAATTTTCTATATCTACGCTTCCTCTACTTTATGTTTTTCATTGTTTCTCTGAGACAATTAATACAGTTCACTTCTCATTATAGAAAATATTACCAATTTCATGGAAGCTTGGGGAGAAAGTCATTGCTAACTGTGCTCATAAGATTAAACCATATCTCATGGAAGCAGTACAGTCTATGAACATTGCTTTGAATGAGTATTCTCCAATCATTGCTTCAATCTGCAAAAGTGAATCTGATAATCTGGAGTACTATCATGTCAATAAGTCTGGGGACCATTTGGTATGATTCTCTCTGTTTACCATGCTACTCATCAAAACTGACCGAAATTCAAAATTTAGTGTTTCTTCATTGGAATTCTACAATGTGACAAGTAGAAAGGTTCTTTTAATTGAGGATATTTTATCAAGGTATCTTAAATTTGCTATTTGGACTCCTTTGTAAATTGTAACGTTTAATTTTTAGTTGGATAAGGATTCATGTCTGTTCACTTTTCAACTATTTGAGATTTGAAAAGCCTGCTATTTTGATAGAGCCAGTTCATCTGCCACTGTGTACCCCATAATCTGCACTTTATTTTCTGCTAAATGCTTGTTCTTGTTGCAATGATGTTTGTGCATATCTTTACTTAAGTTGTGTTGAACAACTTTAGAATGAAGTTTGAATACAACTTTTTATTGATCAGGTGAAAGTGGAACCTGTTTTTGATGGAGAACTCTGTGAAGATATGGATGCTATTTCCAAATCATTGACGAGGACTGTAACTGCTGGTACCAGAGATAAAAGCAGAAATAATGATGCCATCTTAAATGTTAAACCTTCAAAAATCTTGGAGTGTTGTTCTCGTATGGAGGTACCCAGAAGTGCTGCTGCTACTGATGGTGCTAGACTTGACAATTCTGTCTATTTGGATCCAGTCAAATCAGAAACTGAGCCAGATATTGTTCCAAAGAAAAGGGGCCGGAGACCTAATTCTTTGATGAATTCAGAAGAAGGCTATGATCATTCTTGGATTTATATGGGTAAGGACACTTTGCAAATCCCTCATCATAGAAAACCTCATGAAAAGGGAGTTGATTGTTCATCCTTTGCAAACTCAGATTTGGAGGATGCAGCTGCGCAATTGATGGATGAAAAAGTGAGTGAATCCATGGAGTTGTCTTTCCAAATTAAGGAAATAATAGGGGCTTCTTCTGCATCTCCAAATAGTGGTCTTCCTGGAGGAATTAATCCTAGAAGGGGCAGGTCAAAAGGGAAAGAGAGCATGACAACTGAAAATGCTGATCCTAATTCCTCACTAACAAAGAGATTGGAGTTGAAGGCCCAGATTCTGGAGAAACCCGCACCATCTGCAGGTGGCAGTCTGCAAATGAAATCTGAAGCCAAAACTTCAGACAGAAAACGGCAGAAGCGCTCAAGAAGGGTTGAGATTGGTGCAAAGACAAACCAAGCTTCTCTATATTTTGCCCCAGAAAAGGAAGGTAGGGTCCAAAGTGACCTTGAGGAGAAAAAGTTGCAGCAGCCAACTGTAAAGAAATATAAAAATAATCAAACTTTGGATGATGATGATATGCTGGATAAAAACATCAGTGGAGCATCTGGTAAACAGGTATGAAACAAAGATGACTTCCATTGATTTTTATTTTTGTTCTACACTGAATAAAGGGTTGTGTCTTAAGCGCTTACTAGTCTGCTCCTCTTGTCAACTGGATAGAAGACAATTTCTAGATCTGCTACTACATCTAGAAGAGGTGGTAGTTACATGGAGAAAACTCCTAAAACAAATCCCAAGAGCCAAAGAAATGCTAGAAAGGGAATGGTATGTTGTTATTCTACTTGCCATAACTTGTTCTGGTTGTGAGGACTCTGATATTTTTGGTTTCTTTCTTGCTTTTGCTTTCTTTTCTTAGTAATTTAGCTCAACAGAATTCTTAGAGCTTCCTTTCTTGCTTTGTGTTTGTATGGGCCATTTGTTTCCCATATCAATTGTTTTTCTCCATTTCATCATTTTGTTTTCTTCCTCCCTCCCCAACATCGAAAGGTAATTGCCATTTAGTTATATTCAAAATTTAATGTAATTACATGGTTCAATTTCTGATTCAGGCCTCTGAATTGCCTGATCTTGGTGAGGAATTGACTGGTAGGAGAATAAAAGTTTGGTGGCCAATGGACAAGAGGTAAGTACTGAAGACCTTGTTTTGCAGTTCTGCATTTTTACCATTGCTTCTTTGAGAGGCTTGTCAAGTTTGTTGTATCTCTCAGTATTTAAAAGATCTCTAAACCTTATAATTTCTGATAAGGTATTGAAGTAGAAGCTGTTGGTAAGTTCATTGTTCTGTCCTTCAGTTTTTATCGATGAAAGTTGAGATTCTGAAGAGGTAGCCTGTTGGAATATTGTAACCTGTTGGCATATGAAGCTCAAGGGCTATCATGCGTTGTTCCTTTCATTATTGTGGTGACGGGTCCTTTAGATATTTGTTAGGGCTTTTAAGTTTCAACCAAGTATTCTTCCAAATGAATGACTGTACATCTGAAGTTTTAGACTAAAACTGTAGGCCAGGTCCTGTTGTTAAGGACATCATGCACTATGATGAAGCACTAAGAGGAATTGTCAACTTAGGCTTGCATGTTAGCAAGCTTTTAGACATGGGGTCCACAAGCATCGAGATTAAGTAGTTGTGTGCACTGGGGTTTTAATAATTTTCTGAACTATATCTAGTCATGAGAGGATGGCTTTCATGGTGAAGCCAAAGACATGTGGCCAATGGTAAAGAGCAAGGCTTCTCAGGTTGATGTGCCACTTGACAGTAGATATGTCTCTGTAAGAATTGGCAGCAGTTTAAGCCTCTATGAGAAATGCTGTTTATTGTGACACTAAATTAAATTTTCCCTGTAATGCTCTCTAATGCGGAATTTTACATCATGCAGGTTTTATGAAGGCGTGGTAGCTTCCTTTGACCCCATTAGAATGATGCACCAGGTCAGATAAATCTCACCAAGCTATAGTTATAAGTCTCCCTGCAGCTTCTTTTATTTTCCTTTCTTTTTCTTGCATATCATTCAATTTTATGAATCCATCGAACCTTTGCCTTTGTCCTTGAAGTATGCTGGGCCCATTACCAAGCCCCCTTCCTTAATTCAAAGGCAAGATTTTTCTCTCACCTTGAGCCCATGACCTATTCTCGTTTTAGCATCTTCTACTGTTATTGAAAATAAAACTGAATCTAAATGATTCTTTGCAGATAAAAGTCATTGGTCTTCATTTAACATTTATAGTCTTAAACAATCTTCCATGTAAAATCTTCAATTTCAGCTATCTTACTTTTGCCTTTCTCTGAACATTGTAGTCTTAACTATGATTCTGTTGATGACTTATCATGCAGGTGTTCTATGACGATGGTGATGAGGAAAGACTGAATCTCAGAAGGGAATGCTGGCAGCTCATTCATGACAAAGTTGGTGTCTAACAATCTATTTGTTTTTGTATTATTTTTTTGTTTTTGGTCACAGTTTGTTGTTTTATTTCAATAAAATAACTCCATCGTGGTTCAATATCTTGATCATATTAACAGGGCCAAGAAACTACTGATCTTCCAACACCTGATGTTTCTCTTGATATGTAAGTGTTGCTTTCCAGTTTCCACCTATTATTGGTTTCTTCTAGATGTGTGCTTTGAAATCAGAGTCATTAGTTGCTGCACCTTGCCAAATTTGAATCTGGCTATCAATGATTAAGTTGCCTCTGCTCTACTATAGTCTTCAATTCAGCCTAAGAATAAAATTTGTAGAAAGAATAAGAAGGTTATGAAAATTGTCTGTTGATATCACCTAATAAAATGCTGATTGCCAGGTTATTTGCAAGCAAGTTTAAAAGTTCCTTCAGCTTCTTGTTATTTTAAAATCTTTGCGTATCTTCCATTTCACTCTCTTCTTGCCTGAGAGCTTTGGCATCTTGGCATTAAGTTGTTGCTCTGAGCATGTTTCTGCATACATGATCATTTCTGTCAGAATAATCATAGAATTGCAATATGACTAAAATCTCTGTGTGGTTTACAAGTTTCAGAATTCATTTTTATTCTCCTTTCAAGTGACTGATAAATTTATCGATTTTTAGTTCTGGTGGTGCTTGTTTTCAGTTTTATTTAATTTCATCTCATAGTTATTGTGCTCATGTTGTGTGACCAGACTGCGCAAGCAGAAAGGTAAAGCACATTCAAGCTTACCAAAATCAGCCAGGCCCCGTTCATCCTCAAAAAGGTTAGTGTACCAGGTTCATTCATTTATTCATTCAAAATCTACATTTTAATATGTTTGGACCCTACTAAAAACTATGATGGTATTCAAGGAATGGTGCTCATGCTAGCACATCAACACGAAAATCTAAATCCTATGCTGATAGCTCTGCTGACGGTGCTATGCTTGACAAGTCTATGGTCCATAAATCATTGAAAGATGCATCTACAACTGATGGCAGATCAACTGGTGATGGTCAAAAGTCTGCTGAGGAGTTGAAGGTTGAAAGTAATTATCTGGAGTCCAAGCCAACAATTCCAGAAAGACTGCCCTCATCTGACAGTACAAGTCTCAAGGATGGTGAATCTCCTAGTGCTATCCCCTGCAACGACCAAGGGAGGTGAGAGAAGGAAACTTCTCCTCGAGGCTGACGCCATGGTATGTATATATAAAATGTGAAGAAAAACCTCTAAAGCTGGTAAGTTCAGCTTCAAGACAGGAGAAAGGGATCGTTTGTTTTTGTCTATAGGTGAAATATAAGGCTCATTTTTGCTCTCAAATGGTAATAGAGCTGCATATTTATCTTTCCCCTTGTGAACCGTTGGTGGTGGCTGACTGGGCCGGACTTCAGTTTTGTAATGGAATTAGTTTGCACACCATTACACGGGAATGTAATCAAGTCCATATAAATATGAATAGGTCTTTTTGGAATTTGCGGTGAAATGAAATCATGCAGTTGCCATGAAATTCTTGTTAGCAATCGCCCCCTCCTTCACCATCTACCAAATACCAAGTTTCTTCTATTTTCTTCTAGTGAATCTCAACATTGGTGTCCAATAACTTTAGTTATTATTATTATGATAATTATTATTTGCATTCTTTCTGACAATTTAATGGGATTACTTGAATTACATATCGAAATTTTGTCTTTTGACCGATTTGAAGGAAGAAAATGACAATTGAACATGATTTACGGTTGCTTACAAAAAGACCTAGCTGTCAAGAGACTTAATAGATGCTACCTACTTTGAGTCTTTTTTTTTTTCTTCCTCTTCTTCTTTTGGCTCAGAAAGTCACTGAAGCAAGTCTAAGATTCTTGATCAACTAACTTTTTTTTTTTTTTTTAATTATTAGTAAAGTGTATGAACATTTGAAATATAAAATGGCATTTCACATGTATAGTAATGATTGTTACCGCTATAGGAATAGCAACTTCGGTTTAATGATTATAAAAATTAATTAAAGAACAAAGAGATACGGAGACTACTGGCTGACGAGAGCTCAATTTAGAATTTTTTTAATAATATGTCATAAGTATTTTCAAATTTTGTTTGATTTAATTTTTTTCAAACTTTCAAAAATGATTGACATAAACGGGGAGCTTTTCTCATCAACCAGACTAAATTTTGTTTTTTTTTTTTTTTTATAGGGTTAAATATATATTTGGCATCTGAATTTTAAAATTTTTGTTTCATTAGTATTTTAAAATTTTTTTGTCACATTGTTATATGAACTTTCAAATTGTTATTATGTTGATATTAATTAATTTTATTGACGAAACATTAATATCCAATAAAATGTTGACACGTATAAAAAATATATATATATGTAACGCCATATCATTATTGTTGCATTGGAATAAAAAGAAAATTTCAAAAAATAAATCATAAAAATTTAAAAAATTCAAAAAAATAAAAAATTCAAAAACTTTTTGAGAAATTTTTAAAAGTTCTAAAAAGTTTTAAAAAATCCTAACAAAATTTTAAAATTTTTTTAAAATGATAAAAATAATAAAAACAAAATAAAAATTTAAAAATTTTGCAAAATTTAAAAACTTCTGAAAAAATTTAAAAAATTCTAAAAACTTTCAAAACTCGTAAAAATTTTAAAAAATTTAAAAATTTTAAAAAATTCAAAAATAATTATGGAAACTTGAAAACTTTCAAAAACTTTTATAATTTTTTTATATATTAATAGAATTTTACCTTTTGATAAATAATAATTTTTATAAATTTTAATTTTGTTTGAATTTTTTTACTTTTTAAAAAATTTTCTGAATTTCTAAAAATTTTCAAATTATGATAATTTTATAATTTATAAAATATTTAATTTTATAATTTTTTATAAATTTAAAAAAATTTAGAATATTTTTAAAAAAATTTTAGTATTTTTTATAATTTTTTGTGAAATAAAAATATATTTTTTGTAAAATTTTAAAAATAATTTTTAGAATTTTTTTTTCAAAGTTTTTTAAAGTTTTTTAGAATTTAAATAAATTTAGAATTTTGTAAAGAAATTTTAATATTTTTTGAAAATTTGTTAATTTTTTGAAATTAAAATATTTTTTATAAATTATAAAAATTTAAAAATAATTTAGAATTTAAAAAATTTTTTTAATTGTTTTGAATTTTTTAAAAACTTTCAAAACTCGTAAAAATTTTCAAAAATTTAAAAATTTAAAAAAAATTCAAAAATAATTATGGAAACTTGAAAACTTTCAAAAAATTTTATAATTTTTTTTATATATTAATAGAATTTTACCTTTTGATAAATATTAATTTTTATAAATTTTAATTTTGTTTGAATTTTTTTACTTTGTAAAAAATTTTCTGAATTTCTAAAAATTTTCAAATTATGATAATTTTATAATTTATAAAATATTTAATTTTATAATTTTTTATAAATTTAAAAAAATTTAGAATATTTTTAAAAACTTTTTAGTATTTTTTATAATTTTTGTGAAATAAAAATATTTTTTTGTAAATTTTAAAAATAATTTTTAGAATTTTTTTTCAAAGTTTTTTAAAACTTTTTAGAATTTAAATAAATTTAGAATTTTGTAAAGAAATTTTAATATTTTTTGAAAATTTGTTAATTTTTTGAAATTAAAATATTTTTTATAAATTATAAAAATTTAAAAATAATTTAGAATTTTAAAAAAAAAATTTTTAATTGTTTTGAATTTTTTGAAGTTTTGAAAAATTTTTTGAAGTTTTTAAAATTTTTGAAAATTTTTAAAATTTTTAAAAAATTTAAAAAATTTTAGAAAATTTTAAAATTTTTTTAAAATTTTTTTAATACTAACATGACAATAATGATGTTGTATTGACTAAACTATTTTTTACACGTGTTAATATCTTATTGAATATTGATGTCATATTAATAAAATTAACTAATAGCGTTAGTCTGAAAATACTAACGTGATAACAATATGAAAGTTAAGTACTAACATAATAGAAAAATTTTTAAGATATTAATGTGACAAAAAATTTTAAAGTTTAAGGACCAAACATATAGTTAACCTTTTTTTCAACAGTAATATGGATAATTTCATTTAAATACAAGTAAGAAAAAAATAGTAGTAGTTTTAATTTGGTGAAATTGAGGGTTCAAATGCAAAGACTAAAGCTCTTCTTTTGCTTTATTGTATTTTAAAGCATGTTTTTATTTCTTGGATAGGAATCTAAATGATTGTGGAAGTAAGTAGATAAGATGAGAGCAAACATATAAAAAAAAAAAAGGAAAAAAGAGAGAAATATGATCGATTTACGTTGAAGAAGATATTTGGAAATAAGGTCGCACCACTCACCATCCCATCTCCTTCACTATGCCATGGATGAATAAAGAATATCAAACACGCCTCAACTTCAAAAACATGCTACGTGTAGGCTATCTAATATTCCCTTGGCTTGCATAGCTTTGATTCTAAGGAATTGATTTTATGAAAATTATCAACTCTTGAAGTTTTTAATTATAACTATAAAATTTAAATTGAAATTATTATTATTATTATTATTATTATTATTATTTTTTGAAAGAAAGGGTTCGTTCATTCATTCATAAACTGAAATGCAATCTTCCAGTACAACGTTAGAGATAGAAGTGGGATATTCCTCTATCCAAATGTTTCTATCTGGATCCTCTAAACTCCTGTTTGCCAATAAGTGGGCTACCTTGTTACATGATCTTGGCCTATGTTGGACATGACAGATACAGAATTGCTTCATTTTCTGTTTGGCATCCTATGTTATATTCCCCACTCGTGATAGTTCAGCTTATCTCCCAGCAATGGATTTGATAATCCTTAGTGCGTCACCTTCAAGGATTATTCTTGTGAAACCCAGCTCTGCTGCTAACTCCAATGCTAGTAAAGCTGCTTCAGCTTCAACATGAAAGGGTCCCCCTATAGCTGATATTGGGATGGTTGCTACAGCTAGAACTGCACCTATGGAATCTCGGATCACTATTCCGGCCCCATCTCTCTGCGATTGCTTCTGCACTGCCCTATCAAAGTTGACCATGACTATATCTTCCTCTGGAGGTTGCCAACGCTGCTGTATGCTTTGGACCCCATCGTTTGTGACCTGTGTGGCTTTAGTTTCGTCTATGTATCTCTGGGAGAACCCCACCATCTCATTCAGGCTCCTCTTTGAATCCCCATGCAACACGTTATTACGTTCATTCCGTACCACCCATGCGATTATCATACAGGTATGAAGGGTTTCTTGGTTACTTGACAGGCAAATTTTTTTCACCCATTCTGCATTATCATCGGTTCCTCTCTGGCTTAGCTGGTCACCGTTAATAGCTTCCCAGATTTGATCCGCACATGGGCATTTTCTAATGGCATGCATCACAGTTTAATCAGCTACTCCACACATGAAGCACATCCTGTTTACCGCTATTCCCTCTTCTGAAAATTTACCAAAACCGGTAAATAGCCATGATAAATTCTCTAAAATAGGGACTTAACCTTGCTTGGAGTATCAAAAGCCCACAGAGTAGTCCACATTTTCCCATTGTTTGTGTCTACTGTTATCGGAGGTTTTGACTCTATGGGAGGAGTTCTAGTTTCTGGTTGAGTTTTCTGAGTTTTCTTACGAGTTTCGAGAGTGTCATCTACATATCATTTGAGGTGTGATGGCAGAAGGTTCGGAAGGGGTTTGGAACAACCTGAAACTAACGGAGGACGAGAATGATCGAGTTGAGATAAGAACCGAGTGTGATACTGTGAATGTAGAGGAGGGAGAGAAATGGTTAGTGGGTAAACTATTAACAAATCGCCCTTTCAACAAAGAAGCCATGATCGGCACTTTCAAGTTCATTTGGAGAATTACCATCGAATTGCAAGTTAGTATATTGGATTCCAGTATTTTCATTTTTAAGTTCGGCTCGAAGAAAGACAAAATGAGGGTTATGGATGGCTCCCTTTGGTCCTTTGAAAAAAAGCTTTTGATCTTCACTGAGTATAATGGGGATTTCAGACCATTGGAATATAATTTTACGAAAGCTCAGTTTTGGGTAAGTATATACGATCTCCCCCTAAAATGGATGAACAGCAGTGTTGGAGAGATAATTGGGAGAAAAATAGGGAACTACAAAGGTTTTGATCCAACTAGGAACAATTCGGAGTGGGGGATGTTTGTAAGGATTCGAGTGGAATTAGACATCAGAAACCCTTTGAGAAGATTTGTGCTACTGGGTACTCAAGGAGGAGGGAATAAGATAAAAGGAGTAGTAAAATATGAAAGGCTGCCAACCTTTTGTTATGAATGTCGTAATCTTGGCCATACAGGTATGGAATGTGGATTAGCAGGGAATAAAGAAAACAGAATAGACTCTGATTCTCTTTATGGTAGTTGGCTGCATGCGTCCCCCGTTAAAAAAGGGTATGGCTCTTTCAGTACTGTCACACGAATAGGTTGGGGAAGAGATTGGACAGGTACTGGAAACATGTTCTCGAGGAAATTGGGAGATAACAACGGAAGTGTTCGAGGGGAACAGGAAACTCTACATGGAGGTGGGCATAGCAGAGTACGGCCTCACCAAGATGTGATTGAGAAGGATAATCGATTGGAGGAGATAAATCTGCCAAAAAATCAGGAAAATGAAATCAGCGGAGGAACGAGTAAACCCTTGATCCAGGGGACGGATTGGCAGTGGCAGATACAATTTGGAAA